CACGAGACGGTGTGATTGGCCTCGAAAGAAACCGCCTCGCCGTGAAAAATGTCCGACGGTCCTCTCCGCGCCTTCGTCCCCGGAAGACAAATTTCTCGCACCTTCGGGGCTTCCGTCTTTACCAGGGAAATCGGTGTTTATTTCTGCGAACCTCAACGCCTCACGCGCCCCTTCCAGAGTGAATTTCTTACGCTGGCCGACGCGATGAATAATGAATTCTTCCCTGACGCGTTCCTCGATTTAACGCGAGAATTCGTGTCCGACGGGGCTGCTTTCGAACGATCTCATCCGTTCTGCGCTTCGACGCTCGATGAACTTACTTGTTGAGCAAGTTTATAAATCCAGAAATCTGCGTTTAATTATCGTTGCAGAGGGTAACAAAGAGGAAAATCAAATATGGTAAGATACAAGAAAAGTGAAGGAAAAGGCAACTGTACAAAGGTGAAAACGTGTTGCAGAAACGATGGAGCTTTCAAACATTGTTTGCCGCCCGTAACAACGCCAATCTGAATTTAAATAGCGACTGATTCGGATTTATGAAAACAAAGGGTGGAGAATAATAAGAACGTTCATTTATTTTGGAGATCGGACGATGCTCCAAACTTTTGAGCGACAGTGTACGTTAAAAGCATAGAAGCAGCCGGCGCCACGGATATACCCATTGGTACATGACCCAAATGTACCATTTCTCTTTTGCAAACAAAGGAATGCCTTTGGTAGCCGTTTTCCAGATGTCATTATTTAATACTAGGCAACCCCGTATTATTTCTTATTTTTACCCCGCGTTTCCATGGATTTTTCGACCCAGTTTGATAAAGTCCACTGAATAATTGCTTCCCAGCGGTCAGGTCGACGCTAATAACGATACGCGAGTCAACATTTTCTGGGAAACTCTGTTTCCCGTTTCTGTAATATCCGATCCTATTGTGCCTCCTCGTTTTCTACTTCCTCTCAAACGTCACTGTACAAATTTACCAATAACTGTACCACTCGTCGACATATTCTGTCTTCGCGAATCTTGTATCTTTATATCAAAGATATAAAATGAATCTAATGTTTTATATTTTGAAAATCTGACGTTAATACACCCGAGCCTGAAAATGTTCGCGTTATTCGAGGAGGAGCCAGGGGAAACATTGTTTGCTCCACGAGAAAAAATTCTGCATTGCAAATACCCACAATATTTACAACGTTCGAACATCGTCGAATCTCCCAGTTTATCCCGGTGTTGATCGAGTTTTTTTTTCCTCCCCCGTGGTCGAATAAGTTCCATTCGACGCGCGATTCTTCGCGGTTTCCGTTGCGTCGTCAGCGATATTTCGAAATTTATTCGTTAAAGTAATTGCTCGGAAAACGTGGGTTCTGTTATTCGACGGGGAATTAAAAAACTTTCGAATGCAGCGTGTATTTGTCGATGGAACCCGGTGCTATTTGCCAAGGGACAGAAAACTGTTTTAATTTCAACAACGTGCAGTATTGGCTTTCAAACTCGCGTTCAATTTCCGTGTTCGACAGCGGGGCTTCTGACAGATAACAAAACGAGAAAGGTTCAAAAATAAATGTAGCTAATAATACTCTTTTTCAATACCGTGGGTGAACAGAAAGAAGGACGCAATTTCCTCGACGAGCAGGAAATTGATTCGAAAATTTCTGTCTCGATGATGAAACGATGTCCGTCCCATTGTTTACGTTTATTGTCTGTTTCAGTTGCCTGGATCGTATTATAAAACTGACGAAGAGACGCCAAACGCGGCTGCGCGTAGCGTGAGTTTTCATGCACCCCCCTGTAATAATAAAAATACTAATAACAGTATGTCTGCGTTGGACTAGAATCGTATACCATGTGAATCGACGGATTAAATAAAGTATGACACGCAGATGAGGAGATAAACATAGAGTCACACAACTGTTATTAACCTACCCTGGCATAAGGCATGGAAAGCTTAACTAGGGCACACGGTGTCACACGTTCACAACGAAATTCCGTTTCTCGTTTAAATTTAATTTCAGGCTTTTAATTCCCCAGATTCGAACGTATAAAGTTCTTTATTCGCCGCAAGACAACAGGGGGGTTTGCGGGCAATTTAAAAACTCTTGCATTGTGTGTACAATTGCAATTTATAGACTGTGGCTAGACTCCAGTGACTGGCCCTATATCGTTCATAAAGCTCACGACTCGTATTATTTTCAGCGCTCGTAGCTGAAACACGCCACGTACAGGGTGTCTCGGTAATTCCGTCACGAGCGATATCCCCGTTACTTTTAACGGCGCCGAGAAACGTCCAACGGTCGAAGTCGAGACGCAAGTGCACGGAAAACCCAGGCTTTCCCGAGAGCTTCGAACCCGGCGATTTGTTCGAGACTTTGGTGCAAAATTACCAGAGACACCCCGTGCATGTCGCATAAATTTAACCCGTGTCTGGCCGGTTCGGGGCACTCGAGCCACAGATTCTCTCAGAGTTGTCCTTAGAGCGAGAGTATCCGTGCCAACCGTGATCTCCGCGAGTTTATTCCACCGTTTCGCGATTCTTATGGCCCCGCGAGCTCGTTTCTCCAAAATTTATCGTCTACAACAACGCGAACGAGATCGCCGTACATCACAATCACCGCCAGCGCCCGCGGTCCAGACTTTTCGGTGGAAAATCCGAGGGAAATCTGAGCCAAAACGTGCTTCCTTCCGGTTAAAATTACCGTTTCTGTCGCCGGCGCCGTGCGACGTCTCTATTCCCCGAACGATAAAATTTCTTCCGATCCGAACGTTTCGACGGCGAGACTGAAGGATTAATCGAAAGGAAGGGGAGCATTCGTTTCCTGCGTTCCGTCTGCGTTCCGGACGGCCGAGCGGTCTCTTAAGTGGCTCGTTTGGGGCAGCGATAAAGTAACTTACTGCCTCCGAGCATGAAACCTAAACGCCCGTTACGATGCCTTTAGTACGCCGCCGAGCGACATAATAAACAGCGCGAAACCTCGAAAGTTTGAGTCTCGCGAAACGTTTGACGCGAGGGAAAACAGTAAATCTAACAAAAAAGTAACAAAGTTTCATTAATCGTTAACATAGACGCGCATAAACTTCTGGAAACGTCGGGTAATTATTTCTCATCCTGCCCCACAACTTCCTCCACGAACTTTCCCTATCGGAGTCTAATGAGAATCTTGGTCCAAACCATGTCAAAAGTCATCAAACGTATCGAACGTCATGCGCACGTTCCCGATAATTAACCCTTTCGATCGTAACATCCCGTATGACGCTCGGAATCCTTAATAACGATACGATACGAGAGTCCAAACTTTAAATTATGTTTCATTTGTTTATTCCACCCTTGGAGGAATATGTGTTTGTCGTTTTTCTGCACTCAATATACACGATTTATAGTGGCAAACCCCGGTCGAGTCGGAACCTTCTGAAGCTGACGCTATTGTGTTTACATTGCGTGTATATCGGCCGCTTACACGCAAGCTCGGATCTGATAGCCTCCGTGTAATAAGGTGGCACGAGTAGGGAAAGGCTGCTTACCTTACGCTAACTTTCAACGGCTTTTTCCTGGGCTACGTACGCTATGCAAATCAATTCAAACCACGCGATACTCCGACAAAAGGCACGAGAGCTATCCGTCAAGAAACGCTGGGAGAAAGACGTCTGCTTTCAATACTCCGAACGTATCAATATTCCCAGAGTTATCATATTTTTGGGTCATCGAGTATTCGAATTTCGTGGAAAGCATCAACCACTTGCCCCGACATCGTAGATTTAAGGAAAATGTATTTGCTCTTAAGGTCTTTTAGTGTACGCCTTTCTTTTTTACATTTTCGTAAAGAATATAGTTTGGAAAATACATGAACTCATATTAATTAAGAATCTTTCACGTTTTTTCATCTCAAACAAATAGAACGGCCAGAATCACCGTGAGACAGCCTTTTTTAAAAGCAACTATGTTTGACTATGTTTGAGAGTATGCAGTCCCACCAATTTTAACTCTTTTTCGACAAAAAAAATTTTTAAATGTCAGTGAAATATGTAGAAATAAATCTTGTAAATTTGACTGCAAAAGGTGTTATAGTTTATTCGAAAAAAATTCTTCAAGAAAGTCTAAAAAAATGCACTTCACCCTGGAGTACGCCCTTGAAAATCTGAGATGAAAAGTGAATTTGGAGTGTTAAAGTCACGATATTTTCCCCAAATTTGCTACTGAATTAAAATTATCGAGTTACACTTCATAGTTTACACGTAACAATGGGGACATGTAATGAAACGTCCTGCAAATGTAGGTTAAAATTGAAGTGGACAGGTGGAGTTCCCTTGGAAGCACTCTAAATTCCCATCACAGTTATCAAACATTAACAAGGGAACTACATAAAGCGCAATACTTGGTTTAATTCAATTTTGAAGGTCCCTTTTAAACGTTCTTCTTTCGGTAAAAGGATCTACGTTTGGAAAAACGAAATTCCAGCTTCTGTATACCTTTTCACCAACTTCTTCCCCCCCAAAAATAATTTTATATCTGCTTCGAACATGTATCTTCAACCATTTTATATATTTCTGCGCGAAAAAATTGCCTTCTTAAATGCAGGCCAAAAGCAACCCACAATTCTTAGTTTATCTTATTTTTAGTTTTGAGACCCCCGAAATTTCAAAACAAACATGGAAAAATTGATAATCAAACTTTTTGTTCTGGTACCAGCTATAGCCAAATTTATACCAATTAAGAATTATTCAGGTTTTTTCATTTCAAACAAATAGAATGGTCAGAATCATGGAGCATGCACTGCCATCAATTTTAATTTCTTTTTCACCCAAAAAATTTTAAAAATATCACTGAAACCCATACAAAATAAACCTTGTAAATTTAACTGCAAAAGATTTCATGGTTTGTTCGCAAAAAATTCCCGAAGACGGTCTAAACAAATGTACTTTGCGCTAGAAGACCCCCTTAAGGAAGCAATTGTAAATGCTTGAGTAGCACAAGGTAGAATTCGATGTGCAAAATGGTAAAGAAGCTCACCAGTTTGTACGAGTTTGAGGGCGCCAGCATTGTGCTGTTTGAGGTGCTCGTTGAGCCCCGGTTGCGTGAGATCCCTGAGAGGATTGGCGGCATCCTCGCCGCCGGCACCGCGACTGTTCTGCATAGTCCTGGTGCCGTCCCCTGGACGAGTGGGCTTCGTGACCTGGTAATCGCGAGCCTCGTTACGTCGGGCTCTCCTTCTGCGCGTCTGACCGCGCTCGCCTCGTCTGCGCTCCTTTTGCCTCTTACGATCCTCCTCGACGACGACGCCGCGGTCGTTTCTGTCGTCGACAGCGATCACGGTGATCCGACAGCTCGGTCTACGATCGCCGCTCAACACTGAGCTAGGATCACGGACGGGATTCTCATAGATACGCAGGAGTTCGTCCGCCGGGTAGATGACGTACATGCCCAGCCGATGATGGTGTTCCCGTAGCCTGCGTCCCCTTTATCGACGACTCTGAGGGCACGCTCGGCCGCGTGGCTGCCGCCGCCGTTGTTGCTGCTGCTGCTGCTGCTGCTGCCACTTTTCTCCGGTCCGCGTGAGCCAACATCGCTGCCCGCCAAATCATCCTTTACGATCCTCTCGCGAGTCACGCTGCCTGGCCACGCGAACAGCCGCATCTTCTTGGCACGACCGCCACCGTTGCTACGACTTCACTTCCTGACCCGGTCCGTCCTGTCGGCTGCCTCTTCCGCGGGAGATTCCTGGATCATCGATTACCCTTGTGGCTCTTGGGGTCCGTCGACAACAATTTAACGGAGTCCCATAGACCCGGAGGTGTCTATCGGTTGGACGATTGCCTGGAACAGAGACACTGTCGTTAGAGGAATCCTCCAGAGGAAGAGATTCTATTCTATTTGGTACATTTCGAGTTTATTTTGTAATGTATATTTTGATAATAGAACGAATAAAGTGATACTTTTTCGAACTAAGGTTCCGTGGAAGGTCAGCAACGCCAAAAAGACCATAGAATTTTTAGAAAAAGAGGATACTTGCAACGATCGTCGCACCGCAGCGCCGTATTCGACACAGCTGCGGCGCGAGTTTTCTTTCCATAAGGGAGTATCGATTTGTTTACCTTTAATTAACTTTCGAAACTCGGATTATATACGAAATATATTGATCCCGAAAGGAAACGAGTCCTTTCAGGTGGAACGTTTTGGTTAGCTTTTTTCTGCCAACCACAAATCCTCCAATAGAGTTTAAATCTTGACTTTTAAGTGAACTATAAAACGTGGAATGGCATCTTCCATGAAGTTACTTTTTCATCAAGAATTATTTTTACGTTTATGTGAACATTTTCTAAGGTACTTTCCCTTTTCTAATGTTCGAATCCACATTATTTTTTGTTTAACGTGTTCTCCAAAATGGAGCTCCGTTCACGACATCCTCGATTTACTTCAACACTTCCTGGACTATTCAAGTCGTATATTTTTATTTCTATTCGAGAGTACCCAGCTCCGACATCAATCAAGACTTTTCTCCTTCGTACAGGCGTCTTGATTGGTATCAGAGCTGGTGACTTTCCTCTCTCGCGGCGTGAAGTGCTTAAGTAGTACTTCAGTCGCCATTCAGGCGGCGCGGACGGTTTATTCTCAAAGATGGCAGCTTCCGGTCCTCGAGGAGCACGCGTACGGAACAAAGCGAAGCAATAAGCGTAAGAAATCAAGTCGATACTTTGTTTCAACGATCCTATAAATAGAAGTTCGATTGATTCATTTATTTCATTCGAATAATATTTAGTTCGAACATTCTTAAAATTTCTACATAATCTTCACTCAAATGTGCGTTGTTTGCATTTCGAAACATTAAAATCCTCCAATCCGTTCAGGAGGTATGATTTTTTAAGCATATACATGAAGGGAAATTAGACATTGGTTAGACATTATATTTTCGGTAAAGAATTTTTTTTCTTGAAAGTGCGTAGGATTTTGGGGGTATGTCTATTGGCCAAAAATGATTGGAATTGGCCCCTGCAACTGAAAATAATTTTTTTAGAACGATTTGACATTTTTTAATTTCGCCGAAAAATTTAGACAGCTATTCGAATTTTTTTCTCGAAGATGGATAGGATTTTGGGGGTATGTCTGTTCACCAAAAATGAATGTAATTGACCCCCGCAACAGAAAATAATTTTTTTAGAACGATTTGAAATTTTTTATTTTCTCATCCATGAGAAGAGGGGGCTAAAATCACGTCCGAAATTTCTGGTTAGTGTGTCACTCAGATTGGGCCACGAAAGTCCATAAGGTGCAAACTCTGCTCGTATACCTCGTATATGGTAAATCTGTTGCGACGATTTAAAAGACGAAAGCTCCGTGGCAGACGATGGAAGTTGCGCGAGTTGGTTACGACACAATGTGGTGCAATCGCTTCCAAACTTTTTCGCCCGTGCTTTTACAACGCAATCAAGTTTTGTATCCTTTGTACGCCTCGTTCTCCGAGAGGTTTGCTTTCACGAAAGCGGAAAGAAAGAGGATCGCCGAGATTAACTTCGGAATAACGTTTCTACTCTCCCAATAATCTACCAGCGAGCGGTATACCGATTGTTACCGGTATCCCCCTTTATGTTTATAGACGTTTCCCGAGCTAAAGCCCGGCCTGAATTTATTTAAACAATCGCCGCGCCGCCGCAGCCGCCGCCGCCGGTCTTATGCATTATTAATAGCGCCCATTTCAACTTGGTTAAGACCGAGCTTGTTCCGCCGTGAAAGAACCGCTCTGTTTGCAGGGTAAACGACTTATTCAACATCCGAATAAATACGGAAACGTCCTCCCATTTCTGCAACTCGAGAACCTCGACGTCGTGCAAATTGTCCCGCTGATTTAAATCTAATTTGAATCCTATTCAATGCGAATGCTACATTCAACCGGACTCGAGTGTCCTTTCTAGGAGCCATAAACAAATTTCCACAGCGGAAACTTTATTTTAAACGTTATTCAGTTCGACCGGTGGAACACAGGTACTAAACTTCTCGAATACTAGCTTTTACGAGTCTCCAATTATCCGCGAATTCTTGCACCTTCCGCTTCACGCGTCCCAAAATGGCTAAAGTTCGTTCTATCGGAACGATCGCGAAACGCATTTCTGTATTTATTTATCGTGGAAATATTAATATTAAATTTCATTTAAAAATGTCAATACCCGCTCGAATTTTTTTCTCGAAAGCGGTTAGGATTTCAGGGGTATGTGTATTCACCAAATATGATTGTAATTGAGCCCCGCAAGCGAAAATACTTATTTCAGAACGAATTGAAATTTTAAAATACTTTAATAATTTCTATTCGTCGATTCTCCATGGATTATCCGTCGAAATCACGAGCACGAAATCACCCTATTTAGTCGTGCGAAAACGCGGCTGGCTGTACGCAGGAATCGATCAATCAATCAGGATAATACCCGGGGATCCTTCTTCTTAGACGGAGATCAAATGCGAATCTCGCCTATCCGGTTATACCATTTCCATTCGTGGAAGCCACCGAGTAACTTTAATTTGAAATTGACTTACTTTTCGATAAAAGTTTTTATCATTCATCCGTGTGATCAATTTCTATCTCCACGACTTTCTTTTTCGACTGTGAAAATCTGCTGTGGAGAATGTGCTGGGAAATTTCCGGGTGTCCAGAACCCTTTTCCAACGATCAACAATAAGCAAATTTCTTTCCTTCGATAGTTTGCTTCTTGCCCGGGCAAGAAAACGGCGTAAAACGGAGAGCACGTTTCCATTTTCGAATTAAAAATTCCCTGGTCGTGGCCGTATCTCGAATCTCAGGAAATTAATAACGCTCGCAGCGCTGAAAAGGTCTTGTTAATTTCCCTTAAAAGCTTATCTGCGCCGACGGAACGGACAAATGATGCAATTATCACCGCGGGAAACGCGGAACAGAAGGAGGGGCAAAAAAAACGTTGAAGCTCCTTGGTGTTATGCTTTATACGCGCGTTTCGCGCTGATAATTCCCGCGCTGGACCTTTTTGCGTAATTGAACGAGCACAAAGAAATCGATTGTTCGCGGCGATCCGACCCGACCCGCGAAGAAATTCTTCATAAAGAGCTGTACAAACTACGACAAGCCGTTTCGCGTAATTACACGTCCCGTCGAAGGCTCCATTTTACTCTCGCCCGGAACAAATTATACAGGGTGTTCGGCCACCCCTGGAAAAAGTTTTAATGGGAGATTCCGGAGGCCAAAATAAGACGAAAATCAAGAATACTAATTTGTTGATGGAGACTTCGTTAAAAAGTTATTAACGTTTAAAGTTCCGTACGTACTGAATTTTTTTCTAGAAAGTGGGTAGGAATTCGAAGGTATATGTTTTCACCAAAAATTATTGTAATTGACCCCTGTAACCGAAAATAATTTTTCCAAAGCGATTTGAAAATTTTCTTTTCGCCGAAAAATTTTGGCAGTACACCTGTTGATTTTTCTTAAAAATTTGTTTTTCATTTTTAATAAATTTGCTTGACGCTCTACAGAAAAGTTGTCTAACACTTTTTTGTAGGTACCCATGGGCTCTGCTTCAGAAATAAATTTCAATGAGATACCTTCACTATTGTAGAAGTTATGGCTGTTTGAAAATTGGACCAGTTTTAGGAGGGTTTTCTCAGTTTACGGGGTTAAGGACCAACTTTTTCAATATTGTTAAAATTTCTACATATTCTCCACTAAAATACGCGTTGTTTGCACTTTGAAAAATTAAAATCGTCCAATCCGTTCAGGAGTTATGACATTTTAAAGATTTTCAGGGAAGCATTTCTGGCCTCACATTAGATTTTCGGTAAAGAATTTTGTTCTCGAAAGTGCGCAGGATTTCGGGGGTGTGTCTATTGACCAAAAATGCTTGTAATTGGCCCCTGCAACTAAATAGAATTTTTTAAGTATAATTTGAAATGTTTTAATTTCGTCCAAAAATTTCCGTACCTACTCCAATTTTTTTCTCGAAAGTGGGTAAGATTTCAGGGTTATGTCTATTCACCAAAAATGATTGTAATTTACCTCCGCAACCGACAATAATTTTTAATAATAATAATTTTAAATTTATAGTAACCGTGAACAAAACTATTTAAATATTAAATTTATTACACTTTTGTCCGGGAATAGGTAGAAAGGGGACTTTTAAAATAACGCGGAAAAGGGTTCGTGATTGGCTGCAATTGGAACTCATCGTCGCGATCCTTTATCCGAGAAAATCAATCCAAGAAGGATCGAATCTGCGAAAGATCAGCTCGTTTCTTCAGAAAACGTTGATAAAAGAGAATGCCCATTCTAATCTAATATTAAATTTATTACACTTTCTCCGGGAATAGAAAGTGGACTTTTGAAATATGATTGTTGCGTCCGTAATGTTAATATCCGATTTGTGTAAAAGTACGTCGTATAAATAATGTATGCCCCGAGTGGGACGCCACGAGAATCGCGAGACAACGAACGATGTAAAACGCGAATCAAGCGATTCGATAAAGGATAAACGTAGCAAAGTGAGCGTCGCCCGAAAACACTTTGACGCAAAGTGTGTCATATTTATTCAACGAATTCCGTTATTTTAGGCACCTGTTTATCGAACTTGATGCATAAATCACGCTCCACGAAGCATACACCGCGCTTCCGGAACAACCCCCACCCCCTACCCTCTTTCTATCCACTTAAACTCGCATTACAAGTAAATACAGCATCGTTAATAATCGTGGAGTCGAAGAACCAAAGGGACCAACAGTCACGATTAAAATATCTCTACTAAATAAAGAAACGAAACGCTATTTTTACGATTTTATCCATACATGAAAGGTTCCATTTGGATGCA